TGGAAGAGGTGATCCAAGCACATGGAGGTTACACACGTTATTAAATTGTGTAATTTTGTAAATAAATTCATTAATAAATAATATATTTTCTATCAAAATGATGATTTTATTTTGTATAATAAATTAAACGTAAACCTTAAGATTCATATGGCAAATAGTATACCATTAAATTACGTGATTATCCAGCTACAATTTAGTGAAAACGGATTAAAAATCGGATAAACCATTCAAATGTTATTCAAATATTGCCTACAGTACATAGAAGTTTCAGTATACTGTGTGTTGAACAGAGGATTGACTTCAGTCTGTCTTTATACCGACTCCTTGTCGTCGATTATGGCACTCAAAGACCACGACTCCACTCATCCACTCGTCTGTAAGGTATGGGATCTCTTAACAGAACTCGACAGAAGGAAGACCCGGATTGCGTTCGTCAAAGTGGCCACACATACAGGAGTCGAAGGCAATGAAAGGGCAGACATTCTGGCGAAGACGGCGCCCGAGACGGACGACAAGGCATATGGACTGAGATCTGTACTCAACTGCAAGACACACATCAGATATGGCGCGCGAGAAGTGGGAGGAAATGTGGCGCTCGTCTGACAGCAGAGGTCTCACGAAAACAGTGTTTCCGACCGTAAAGTCCAGACTCTCAGCGAAAGTCTACAAAATTGGTCATTACGTAACACAAGCGCTCACAGGACACGGACAGTACGACCAATACCTGCACCGGATTGGAGTCAAAGAGTCGGCCAATTGTCGGGTCTGTGGTGTGGAAGACACGGCCAGACATCGACTGTTTGTGTGCCAGAGGTTTGAAACAGAGAGACAACACTTCGAGGAATCGTTTGGCAAAGAACTGACCGAAGAATCCATCCGAGAGATCACTGAAGACGAGAAAACATTCGACGCATTCATAGCATTAGCCAAAGACATATCACCAATAGATCAGATCAGCGAAGATATAGTTACAGACAATCAGACGTAGAGTTTTGACAAATTGTATATAATTTAGAAAATTTTCAATTTTTACTTTCATTTCATTTATTTTTATTAATGAAATTCCTCAGATTTAAACAGTTTATGGCATCCATTGACTGAACACTTGAGCAGCCGTTCCCTCGTATGAGTCAATCGGTGTTTAGTTAACATAGATTTGTGGCCCGTTTTATACGCACAGCCCTCCCAATCGCACCGGAATCTCAAGACGTGCGCTCTTACCACGTGATTCCTCCGTCTTTCGGGAGTGGCAAACGTCGCGGTACAGCCCTCGTGATCGCACCGGTAGGTCACATCCGAGTGCATGTGTTTATGGTCACTGAGGCCTGTTATATCGGCATAACTCTTATCACATGCGATATAATCGCATCGATATCTACCTTCCAGTGTCTTATGAAATGCGGATCTCTTATGCCTTAAGAGTCTCTGATATCCTCTGATCCGTTGCCCACAGTTCGGGAGATCGCAGACAAACACACCGTCAGTCCCTTTGGGGCCCTTTTGGAACACAAAATCATAACTTTTTTCCGTTTAATCGACACTGAATTACATCATTTTATTATACATTTTAATTCAATTAAATTTACAAATATTTATCAAAATAATAAAAATAATAATTTAAATAAATTTTACATCTTATGAACAAAACTTACAATCAAACACATTATGAGAGCACCGGTACTCTCACAGCCACTACTCTTTATGGCTACTCTTGATGTGATTGTCGAGACTCCTAGCGAAGTGACTATTGTATGAACAGCCGGGCCATTGACACCGGAACCTCCGGGTGCCNACAGCCACTACTCTTTATGGCTACTCTTGATGTGATTGTCGAGACTCCTAGCGAAGTGACTATTGTATGAACAGCCGGGCCATTGACACCGGAACCTCCGGGTGCCCGTGTGCTCAGACATATGCACATTCAGTGTGCCGCGAGTACCCAACTGTCGATTACATCCCGGCCAATGGCACCGGTATTTATTCGGGTCTTTGTGTAGTATTTCGTGATCTTTAAGCCTAAGTCGAGTGATATAAACCTTCTCACAGCCCGGCCACGAGCACCGGTATTTGGCGGGCTCTTTGTGTAGGACTTCGTGCTCAGTAAGCTTAGATTTGTTACAATAAGCCTTTGCACAGCCCGGCCACGAGCACTGGTACTTGCGTTCACCCGTATGCGTGTCCATGTGTTTGGTTATACCATATTTAGTAATGAAACGTTTTGCACAACCGGGCCATTCGCACCGGTATTTCAATGACTCGTTATGAGTGGGCTCATGATATTTGAGTTGAGCTAAATGGGCGAAACATTTGCCGCACTGATCGCACCGGTAGTGTTTGGAGTGTTGTTTCACGTGTGCCTTCAAAGCGTAGTCTGATTTGGTCCTAAACTGGCAGTCAGTGTGTGTGCACTGAATCCACGGCACGTCCGGCACAGAGTCGGGATGTTGTCTCAACTGGTGGTGAATCATATCGTACTTAGTTTTGAAAGTTTTCAGGCATTCCTCGGCCGGACACGTGAACTGTCGTTCCCCTGAGTGTACAATCAATTGGTGTTTAATAATGAGAGGTTTAGCGCCAGTCTTGTAGTCACATCCCACCCAATCGCACCGGTATTTAGTGCCATGTTTTTGCGTTTTATGTTTTTGTAGATATTCGGGCGACTTGTATTTGGCTGCACACCCATCCACATCGCACCGGTAGGCTTTATCCCAATGCGTGTATTTGTGTGTGTTTAGCACACTTAAGTTGGCGAAACTCCTACCGCAACCGATATAATCGCATTTCAATCGCCCGTCCGATGTCTTTATGACAGGTGTCCGGTGTTGGCACCTCCTGTGACGCGTGAGTGCCCTACACGTGTCGAACTCAGCCAAACAGCCATTCCTTAGGCACCGGTGGGGCTCCGTATGACCACAAACATGGGGTCCCTCTGATGTGGGCAAACGGCTATCACTTTGACTCCGTTCCCCTGAATGTACACTCAATTGGTGTTTATTTAAGTGCCATTTTTCGCCGGTTTTGAAGTCACACCCCTCCCGATCGCACCGGTATTTAGAGCTATGTTTAATCCTTTTGTGACCGTATAGATAGACCTGTGACTTGTATTCAGCCCCACACCCGTCCACATCGCACCGGTAGATCTTACCCGAGTGCGTGTACTTATGTACGTTTAGTTGCTTAGTTGTGGGATAACTCTTATCGCAACCGACGTAATCGCATAGAAATCGACCGCTGGATGTCTTTGAGACTACTCTCCGATGACGTCGTTTGTGAAGTGATAACAGATTTCTTTTGGGATAACTTTTACCGCAACCGACATAATGGCAAACAAGGAGTCCCTCTGATGTGGGCAAACAGCTATCACTTTGACTGTCATTTGAATCGCTTTTCAATTCATTACTATTAATAGACTTTTCATTTGTGTTCACGTCTTGTGACACAACTGTCTGTCCATTGGTTTGCGATATGAGACGTCTTTTAGTGACAGAAGTGTTGCCACAACCGGACCTTCGGGTGCCGACGCTTACAGTCTGTTTGCAGGGTTCCTTAGAGTGAAGTTTAAGCCCATAATTAGTGGTGAATCCCTGTCCACATCGGGTGCACTCAAATGGCTTCTTATGTTTGTGCGAGTGTTGAGTCATAGATCCCTTGTCTTTAATCATAAACTGACAGCCCGTATGTGAGCATTGAATCCATGGTATGTCGGGAAAGGCTTCGGGATGTACTACCAGTTGGTGTCGATTGAGATCTGGTTTCCGTTGACAACTGTGTTGACAGCCATCTAATGAACATACGAACGGCCCTTCCGTTGAGGCTTCCGGTGACCCAACTGTCTGTCCATTGGTTTGCGATTTCGGATGACTTTTAATGGCAGAAGTGTTGCCATTACCCGACCCTCTGGTATGACTGCTCACTGACTGTACGTTATGTTCATTAATGTAGTGGTCTTTAAGGGCTTTATTAGCGGTGAATGTCTGTCCACATCGGGTGCACTGGAATGCCTTCGTATGTTTGTACGAGTGTTGAGTCATAATTCCCTTGTGTTTAATCCTAAACTGACAGCCCGTATGCGAGCATTGAATCCATGGTTTGTGGGGAAAGGCTTCGGGATGTACTACCAGTTGGTGTCGATTGAAGTGAGGCTTTCGTTTAGTACTGAATTGACAGCCATTTAGTGAACACACGAACAGCGGTTCCGTTGATTTGTCGCACATTTCCTCATCACTGGAACAGTTGTTGTGATTGTCTTCCGATTTAATGACCACTTCTTGGTCTCCAATCGACTCTTCATTCTTCTGGTCATCACTTCTCTGACAACCAATTGATTGTAAAACTTGTGATTAAAATGAAACCAAAAATCAATTAATTATTTATGAAATTGTTTTCAAAATATGATTTCATTTACCGTTGGATTGAGTGATGAAAACAAAACCCTTTTTCTGCTCACAATTGACACGACTTTCGGTGGCATTCAATGCAATCAAATCCACTAATTCTCGGATTAAATGCAAATCTATTTGTTTTGTATTCAATAAATGTGTTAAACATTTGTGACATTTGTTTAACAATAAGTCATTTCGCGATAAATCTGTTGACAAACAATTGATTTGACGTTTCAATGCATTCACTAATGAATACAACTCTTCGCGACTTAATTGCGATAAATCCGCAAAAGTTTCACTCATTTTGAGCACTAATTGAATTGCAATTAAAACACAAATAAATCCAAAACACAATCAAAACAACAATTCATTTGAGAAAATATTTTGTTTACACTTTTTATTCACACAAATAACGCTCAGAAAACTCTTTTTCAAATACTGTACAAAATTCTTACTCTAATTATAATTCAGTAAATAATTCAATATTTATTATAATTGTAATTATATTTGAAAAGTAATTAAATTAATCGAGAAATAAATAACAATTAAATGCAAAACTCGTATCAAATAACGATTTATACAAATAAAACACAATTAATACTACATTTCAAAAACCAATCACTTCTTCGGTCTCTTCACACGTCTGTCCATAAGATTGCATTCATTTGTCTTACGTTTGGACACGACTTCAGAGCACTTCCCGTCGGATACCTTCTCATGAATGCTTAAGACATGATAATTAAGCTCGCTCACTTTGTTAGTCCTATACCCGCACATAAACCAATGACACCTAACACTACCCACAGCTATACCTCTGTGTCTCTTCTCATGACCACTCCTCCAGAGGAACTCCTTCTCACAGCCGGGCCAATGGCACCGGTAGACAGTCTCACGGGTGTGTAGATTCATATGTCTCTCCAAATTAAGGGACGTGTCGTGAGTCGACCGGTGATTCCTAAGCTCCCATACGGTGGCGAATGTATGCCCGCATTCATCGCATATGAATGCTTTCCTGTGCGACAACTCATGGCTTTTGAATATATACTTGTATTTAGTCCTATACTGACAGCCCGTATGCGAGCACTCCATCCACGGTTTGTCGGGAAAGGCGTCGGGATGTCGGATGAGCTGGTGTTGAGACAAATTACTGGATCTAATCAGCCGTTGGCAGCCATCGATCCCACACTTTACGTGCCGTTCCTTTGAGTGCATCACTCGATGTGTTCTCAGATACGATGGCAGACCCGTCGTGAACGCACACCCGTCCCAATCGCACCGGTAGGTCGTCGAGTGAATGCATAGCTTATGTGTGCGGAGATACTCTGCGCTTTTGAACGCCAGCGAACAGCCCTCCCAATCGCAGACATACCGTCCGCTGTTAGGGTCGGGCGCCGGGTCTCTCGTTGTATGTCTGTCTCTGTCTGACATGTGTTTCACTAAATCCTCTTTCGATGGCGTCGTGTAATCGCATCCCTTATGTCCGCACAGGTAGGGCTCACCCGTCATGTGATTACCGGACTTTTTGTGATCGTAGAGTGAAATCGAGTGCGAGATGTGTTGGGAACAGTTCGGGTGATTGTCTTGTGATTTAACGACCATTTCTTGGTCTCCATTCTTGTGGACATCCCTTTCACTTGTGTTCACGTCTTGTGACACAACTGTCTGTCCAATGGTTTTGGTTTTTCTAAGAGGTTTTCTGACAGAAGTGGTGCCCCAACCGGACCCTCGGGTGCGGACACTCACTGATTGTGTGTTATGTCTCTTGGAGTGAACATTAAGATCATTATTAGTCTTGAATCCCTGTCCACATAGGATGCACCCCAATGGCTTCGTATGTGTCGCCAGTGTTGGGCTATAGATCTCTTGTGTTTAGTACTGTACTGACAGCCGGTTTGCGGGCATTTAAACCATGGTTTGTGGGGAAAGGCGTCCGAATGTACGACCAGTTGGTGTCGATTGAAGTCAGGCTTTCGTTTAGTACTGAATTGACAGCCATTTAGTGAACACACAAACAGTCCATCAGTTGAGTGAATGTCTTGTGATTTGTCGCACATTTCCTCATCACTGGAACCGTTGTTGTGATTGTCTTCCGATTTAATGACCACTTCTTGGCCTCCAATCGACTCTTCATTCTTCTGATCATCACTTCTCTGACAACCAATTGATTGCAAAACTAGTGATGAATTGAAACCAAAACTCAATTAATTATCGAATTATTTAAGAAATAGTTTTTAAATATGATTTCATTTACCGTTGGATTGAGTGATGAAAACAAAACCCTTTTTCTGCTCACAATTGACACGACTTTCGGTGGCATTCAATGCAATCAAATGAAGTAATTCTTGAATTAATTCACAATTAATTATTTTATGATTCAATAAATCTGTTAAATATTTTCGGCATTTATTTAACAGTAAATCATTTCGCGATAAATCTGTTGACAAACAATTGATTTGACGTTTCAATGCATTCACTAATGAATACAACTCTTCGCGACTTAATTGCGATAAATCCGCAAAAGTTTCACTCATTTTCATTGCATTTATTAATTATATTTCATTTCAATCAATAAATATAATTAATAAAGCAATCAATTTTATTGTATTAATACTGCGGTCGATGTGAGGATACCATGGAAACCAGTATTTTAATGAAAGACATCTCATAAACGGCTAATAACTATGAATCTGATGGTGAGGGCGATGACGGTTCCGGTGATGAGTCCGCTGCTAATGAGGACACAAATGGTGGCCAGAAGTCGAGGACAAGACCCAAAAAACCTTCACAGAGCTCACGAATGCGATAAAGGGATGACCAAAGAGTTGGTAGTCTTTGACACAGACTTTAAGACACTTCCAGATAATTATAATCATAATTAAGACAATTGTCGACGACTTTCGAGGACTTGTTTCACATTTTCTCAAATATTAAAAACTTTTTGTTTTGTTTATTCAAGTGATATGTCTATTAATGTTTATAATAAAATATTTTCACATTTTTGAATACAAAATAAGTTTATATTCTATACATAATGTTAAATAGTAATCATAATCACTAACTTGTAATTGTAATACTGATTGTAAAATTAAATTAACTAATAATTGAGTTATTTAGAGATTTTTACATCACATAACTTAATACTATATTCTTATGAGTTATGGATTAGCACTGATTAATAATAAGTTATTATAAATAAATAATTTTCTATTAAATTATAAATTGTGTTTAAAATAATTTTAAACTTTTCCGAAGTTTTTGTGTCAATGAAAGTGGTGTCACATGTCGTGTGATAACTGTTGTCAAGAATTGATGGAAAAATGAGTTGTCATTAGATTTCAGTCTATTTACTGTTGGCTTCAATTCCGTATGATTTGTGATAATATTCCTATCGACAGACCACTCGTCATATTTAGCCAACACATCACTACATTCCGGGCGTGTAGGCCAATCGGGCAAGATCATTTTGGATAACCATTTGTATAGCTGAGACACTGATGAGTTTAGAGTTTTATTATCCGGTGAATATACTTGCGAGCTATATATATATGAATACATAAATGTTTAATTTAATTATTTTGCAATAAAAGGATCAAATTATAAATTTTAAAATATACATTTTAGATCCACTACGCAGAACATCCAGGTCAAATAATTCACCACAAATTAGTGCCACACTATATATGTCGCATTTGTGGTCATATTTTCTACCCTGACCAACTTCTGGTGCCTGATATTCTAGTGTCCCTCTGTCTGCCGTATGTTTCTGTGAAGTCCTGTTGTGAATGCGTTTGTCGTGAACTGTACACAATCCGAGGTCACATAACTTAACAAATCTGCCGTTTTCTACATTATTTGCAATCACTATGTTTTCGGGTTTGAGGTCTCTTTGAATGCGCTGTGGATTCAATCCATGCAAGTGTTGAACACTTTCTAAGATCTGTCGAAATATTTCACACGAAATGAAATACTCGTATAAATCCATGGGTTGTCCCAATTGTCTCTCAAATACTATATGTTTGACTTCAAGTATATGCCGAAGACTTTGTGAACACAACTCCATCTGAATGTAACCAAAATCCGGTTCACGCCATGAGTGGTAATATCTGACCACATATTCTGATCTAACATTCACCAAATTTTGCACTTCTTTTTCATCAAAATCTGAATATTTTATATAAAATTTTTAAATTAAAAATTATTTTACAATTAAAATTTTTTAATTACCATTAATTTTAATTTGTTTGACGGCAAACACCTGTCCATCAAATTTGTGTTTCACTCGCAATACTGTCCCAAATCCACCCGATCCTATGACCGACAACTTATCAAATGTTTTATCATAAGATTCATTAAACCGAAGTTTATAATCAGTTTCAAAGTTATGTGTTTTGTGTGTTATTTGGTATTCATTAGCGCAGTAATCAATAAAATTATTATACTTTGTTTCTTTCAATTGAATTCCGTTTATATGATATAACTTGCAGTTTGTTAACACAATTGTGGGGTTTTTATAAATTTGTTTAAATAGGTCAATTTGTGCTAAATCTATAAAATAATTGCTACTGTTCAATTGTTCTAGTATTATTACATCAACACGTTCACCTGTAAAATATAACCCACAAAAACATATGACACCACTGTTTGATAGAAAATACGTCATATTGTCGGAGGAAGAAATTGCTTTGATGTCATTTATTATAGGAATCAGTTTTGGGATAAATATATGTTTGTTAAACTCATTAATTTTATTGTGTCCCAATTGATGGCCACCATTGTCACCCCAACTGAACACAAGTCCGTCACAAGTGATGGCAAATGAATGATAATAATAGCAATAAATGGTTTGTATTTTGGGATTATTTGCGAATTGTATTAGAATTGGTTCACTAATATTAGTATTTATTTGGTCTCCACAACCAATTTGTCCCTTACTATTACACCCCCACCCATACACCTGTTCACTAGATGTGAGGGCCAGTGAGTGACGAGTACTACAACTAATTTTTTGGACATCTTTGTCGTCGAAATACGATATTCTCTCGGGTTTTAAATAAACTCCTACTGGTGTCACACCTCTACCCAATTGTCCCCATATATTGTGACCCCAACTATAGATATGGTTCACAGTATCCATAGCCAACACAAAGTCAAATCCAGTAATAAATGTCTGAATGTTTTGATGACATAATTCTGGTATAAGTTGTGGTGAATGTATGGACTCGTTGTGACCCAATCCAAGACATCCATTACTATTAGATCCCAATCCATACACCATGTCATCGTACGTTACGAATAGTATATTGTTATCTAATCCATTCGAAAACAGATCTTTAAAAACATGAAATAATTTAATGTTTTGTTTCATATTTGAGTCGATTTTATCACAAATTGTAAACTTCTCTAAAATTGAGCACATTTTCAAATTTAAAACAAAATTGAATTTATATTAAAAATATTTATTTTATGTTAATTGATAAACAAATAGATTTATTACTTTAATACAAATTAATCAGTTGTTAAATACTGTTTTCACAAATCACATTAAATAGCAAAATAATTTTGAATATGGTATACAGTATATTATTGTTTAATAATACTTTTACAATTAACAAAAATAATCATTTATTAAATAAATTATATTAAAATTAATTTTATTATTAGTTTACTGAACAGTATTGTAATAAATGAATGCAATTGTTGTTCACAAATAGATTGTGTTATTATAGCAACAGATATGCAATCAATTCACTCGTATTGTCTTAATATGTTTTAAATGCCAATCCATTGTATATTATATGCAATACTTTTGTTTAATCTTTAAATTCAGAGATAATATAAATTATAAGATATTATTATAACAAAGGGAGGGCTGGGACGACAGGGAAAAGGCAATGTTCATAGTGGACAAACATATTAATATACTAAAGACTTGTCATGATAAGCACCAAGGTATTTTATTTTATACAACATTTTTCAGATTGATGTAGGATATTAAAAAAAAGACAAATATGAAAATAATTTTAATATTATAGGTAAGGTTGTAAAATAATTTTAGTTTATATAAACAATGTATATGCATTAATTACTATAAACCGGAATTTAATTAATTAAATGTTTCTTCACAATTTACAAATGCTTTAAGAGCTTAACAATATACGATACTTTAAATATTATAATTATTTCAATTTTATGGACTTTTCTTTAAAAATCTTTATTTTTAAAATTTCAACGTATTGACATTGAGAGGAGTGAATTTTTTTTGATGATTTACGATGTTATTTTGATTGGAATAAATCTATAAAACCAAACTTTAATCCCTTCTTTGGCAAAGTAGTTAAATTTTAAATTTAAGCTAAAATGAGCATGATTAAAATTTTCAAATACGTTATTTATGGCTAAAAATATTGTGATTCAAGTGGAGAAGACAGTGAAACATTCGATGACTACAGCAGTGGTTCCAGTGGTGAAGAAGTGAGGGATAATTACGACACCGATTATCGGCTCATAATGTTTATAATAAAATATTTTCACATTTTTGAATACAAAATAAGTTTATATTCTATACATAATATTAAATAGTAATCATAATCACTAACTCGTAATTGTAATACTGATTGTAAAAGTAAATTAACAAATAATTCAGTTAAACGTTTGTTTCAATAACTTATTTTTATATCAGATAAATATGTGAAAGGGATTAGAAATCATTGAAAAGTGAAACTGTATTAAAAGCAGGCGCCGGGAACCGAACCCGGGTTAATTCAGTTATTTGAAGATTTTTACGTAACAAAAATTATTACTATATTCGTAAGAGTTATGGATTACTGTATTACTGATTATAATAAATTTATTTATTAAATGATAAATTATAAATTCAATTGTATATTTAAAATAATTTCAAACTTTTTCGCAGATTTTGTGTCAATGAAAGTGGTGTCACATCTCGTGTGATAACTGTTGTCAAGAAGTGATAGAAAAATTGATTTTCATTGGTATTAAGTCTATTCAATGTTTCGTCAAATTCCGTGCGATTCGTGAGAATATCTCTATCGATAGACCACTCGTTATATTGAGTCAACACTTCACTACATCCCGGTCTATGATTCCAATTCTGCAAAACCATTGTTGATAATATTTTGTATAATTTGTGCACTGGTGAATTTAGAATCCTATTGGGTGAGTATTTAAGGGAGCTATATTGTCATAAAGATTTCAATAATTAAATCCATTGTATATTATATGCAATACTTTTGTTTAATCTTTGAATTCAGAGATTATATAAAGTATAAGATATTATTATAACAAAGGGAGGGCTGGGAGGACAGGGAAAAGGCAATGTTCATAGTAGACAAACATATTAATATACTACATATGGGTTATTTAATCATTGCATTAGAAAATGTATCATACTCAGTTACACTTATATAACATTTGTTTATATTGATTTTAATGATTAAAGTCTATTCATTAAGTTGTACATTTTGTATAATTTTTGCATGGGTGAATTTAAAATTTTATTTGGTGAATATTCAAGAGAGCTATTTAATGATGAAATTTTATATTTTAAGCTTAATTTTATTATCTACACATTTTTGTAAAAATATTTCTATAATTCATAATATTAATTGAAGTCTTAAAATGACAGGATAAAAAGATTTTATGTTGTGATTACTACCGACAACTAAATATAATGATAACTATTAACTTACTAGAATAAATTATGTAACAATTAATGATTACTATTGTAGCAATGTACATTAATGCCAAAAACAATTTTATGTTTAAAACAAATTTAGACTTCTTAGTAGCCTTTGTGTCCATGAAAGTGGTGTATCATCTCTACTGATAACAGTTGTCAAGAATTTATAGAAAAATGAGTTCTCATTGGATTTCAGTCTATTTAATGTCGATTCAAATTCCGTGTAATTTATGAGAATATTCCTATCGATAGACCACTCGTTATATTTGTGTAACACTTCACTGCATTCCGGTCTAGTATTTCAATTGGGCATGGTGGTCATCGTGGATAATAGTATGTGTATTTTGGATATTGCTGATATTAGTGAATTATTTCCGGTATATACTGAGCTATATTAGTTGTAATAAATATTTTATAAAAAAATACACTCATCACACAATTGTTAATAAATTGTTTCGATAAATACCTAGTTGCATCAACCAGTAATACATCCAGATCAAATATTTCACCTCCAATTAGTGATAGACTATAAATATCCGATTTGTGTCCATATTTTCTACCCTGACCAACTTCTGGTGCCTGATATCTTAGGTCCCCTACATCTGCCGTGTGTTTGTGTTTTGTTATGTAATGAATGCGTTTGTCGTGAACTGTAGCCAAACCGAAGTCACATAACTTCAAAAACCTGCCGTTCCTTACGTTGTGTGCAATCAATATGTTTTCGGGTTTGAGATCTCTGTGAATGATCTGTGGATTCAATTCATGTAAATATTGAACGCATTCTAAGATCTGTCGAAATATTTCACACGAAATGAAATACTCGTATAAATCCATGGGATCTCCCGATTGTCTCTCAAATACTTGTGGTTTGAGTTTAAGGATAATCTTCAGACTATGGGAACAGAACTCCATTTGTATGTAAAGACATCCGATTTCACGCCATGAGTGGTAATATTTGACGACATATTGTGACTTAACTTTCACTAAATTCATCACTTCTTTCAATACTTTTTGAGTTTCTCTTTCATCTAACTCTGTGTGAAAATATAGTTTAATAAAAAGTTTTCAAAGTTTAAAATACAGTTTATTTATACTAATTTTAAATTACCATTAAATTTAATGCGTTTGACGGCAAACACCTGTCCATCAAATTTGTGTTTCACTCGCAATACTGTCCCAAAACCACCCGATCCTATGATCGACAACTCTTCAAATGTTTTATCATAGCATTCATTAAACATATTTTTATAAAAATCAATGTCATTGTTATAAGTTTTGTATGTAATTTGGTATTCATTAGCGTAGAAATCAATAAAGTTATTATATTTTGTATCAATCAATTGATTGTCATTTATTTTATATAACTCATGTTTTGTCAACACAACTGAGAATTTTATATGAAAATCACAATACGAGTCAATTTGTGGGAAATCTATAAAATAATTTTTGATTTTCAATTGAATCGGTATCTTTACAGTAATACGTTTACCACTGGAATAATAAGATCCACAATAATATAGTACACCATTGTTTGATAGAAAATAAGTCATAGATTCTGATGAAGTAATAGATTTGATGTTATTTATAGTAGGTATGAGTTTAGGACTAAAAATATATTCGTTATGTTCATTCAATATATTGAGTCCCAATTGACGATTACCATTATAACCCCAACTGAACACATGGCCGTCACAAGTGATGGCAAATGAACACCAATTATGGCAATAAATGTTTTGTATTTTGGGGTTATTAGAGAATTGTATTAGAATTGGTTCACTAATCCTATCATTCATTTGGTCTCCATAACCAATCTGTCCCTCTCTATTACACCCCCACCCATACACCTGTCCACTGGATGTGAGGGCTAGACAGTGATGGGAACCACAACTGATTTGTTGGACATATTTGTTGTCAAAATACGATATTCTCTCCGGTTTTACATAACTACCTTTTTGTGTCACATCTCTACCCAACTGTCCCCACATATTGTGACCCCAACTATATATTTGTTTCACTGTATTCATAGCCAACACAAAGTCATATCCAATAATAAATGTATGAATCTTTTGATGACTTAATTCTGGTATAACTTGTGGCGACTTAATGGACTCGTTGTGACCCAATCCGAAACATCCTTTACTATTATATCCCAATCCAAACACCATGTCATCGTACGTTACGAACAGAATATTATGATCTAGTTTATTACCCAAATACTCATGTTTAAAGACAAAATAATTCAATTTCTTGTTTCATATTTGAGTGGACTTTATCACAAATTTCAAACTTCTCTAAAATTGAGCACATTTTCAAATTAAACAAAAAATTGATTTGATATTAAAGTTATTTTATTTTTGTTCATTAATTTATATTAATGTTTGTATTTTATTTATGACTAACTCGAATTTATCAGTCTTTAAATACTGTTTTCAAAATACATAATACCAGATTTCGAAAAAAGTTTTGTCCATGAGATTTAACTACTAAAATGCGGGTTATTGCTAAACTATTTAAGTTATCAAATTTATATTTGAACCTCAACTATGGTTTTTTGTCTTACATATTCTCCCGAAGAGAGTACTAGTTTAGAGCACCGGTAGGTCGGCACAGGTAGGTTATCTGTACACCAAAAAGTATAAGTCGTAGAGAGACAATCAGCACATCGTTGGAAAGAACATGACAAATGATCAAACACCTCTATCGGGATTTCGCATGTAACATCCTCATTGAAGGGCTGGGAGGCACGGAATTTAGAAATTTTATATAAATTTTCATAAATCAAAAATCTAATTAACCAATGATAATCCTCTCAAAAAATGACTAACAATTCAATTTTAAATTTTTAAAATATCTCAAGTAATTCCTGAGCTAGAGAATTTTAAATTTTCTAACATTTCTTCTAATTTGTTTTTGATATTAAATTCCTGTGAAAAATAGTGAACTTTGACTTGCTCTAGATCAGTTATTTCTTAAGTTATCTGAAAGTTTTAAAATGCTAATATTATTAATTTCTTGAGCCCTATTTGATGATTAAATCTGATTTTTGATTTAAGAAATATTTATAGATAATTCTTACATACCGTGGCTCCCAGCCCTTCAATGAGGATGTTACATGCGAAATCCCGATAGAGGTGTTTGATCATTTGTCATGTTCTTTCCAACGATGTGCTGATTGTCTCTCTACGACTTATACTTTTTGGTGTACAGATAACCTACCTGTGCCGACCTACCGGTGCTCTAAACTAGTACTCTCTTCGGGAGAATATGTAAGACAAAAAACCATAGTTGAGGTTCAAATATAAATTTGATAACTTAAATAGTTTAGCAATAACCCGCATTTTAGTAGTCAAATCTCATGGACAAAACTTTTTTCGAAATCTGATATTTTCAAAATTAACAAAAATAATCATTTATTAAATAAATTATATTTAAAACTAATTTTATGATTAGTTTACTGAACAGTATTGTAATAAATGAATGCAATTGTTGTTCACAAATAGATTGTGTTATTATAGCAACAGATATGCAATCGGTTTTACATTATCAATAAAGTGCCATGAACATTTAACATTTAGAACTTATTAATGGAGAGCAAAAGCTTTAAATTAGAATTTTATTCATAAAAAACAAAATAAATGGGGAAAATATTACATAGTTAAAAAATATATACTCATAAGCAATCTTTTTTAACTTGCTGACAATATTTCTTCCCATTTTTTTCTTTTTCTATGGACTGATATATTTTGTATGCGTTATATATAGTTGACCGATATAAAATCTTCGCCATAATCGTGTTTACTCGTTTTATTAAATTTAAAAATATTTAGAATAGAGCTAGATTAAAACAAAATTTTTTGCAACTATGGTTTTATTGCACCAACACACTGATATGACGACTTTTACTCAATTCTCAAAGCACCGGTAGGGAACGGTAGTTTTTGAAAATCTTAAATTACTTAAAAAGTATATAACATTTTTAAGTTT